TGTCAGCTTTCAAACATTTGGAAGCGCACACCGCAGTGTGTGATAGTTCGTGTAACGTTCTGGTTTCGCCTGTCCGATTATGCAATCATCGACCCGGCCAGTCGACAGGACGAATACGGTCTCAAGGTTTTCGTGGAAGATAAGGGGCAAAACTTTCCTAACGAACAGATCTGGGGCGAAGCAAGGGACTACACCCATGTCCGGCCTCATCAATGGCACTTCGGCCAAGCGTTTTTTCAGCGCAGTTCTCGAGCATCCGAATTAATAAACTTTGCCTTCGAATGGGAGGATTGCGACATTAAACCAATTCGCTTTTTTACTGGCCAACAGAATTGCCAAGGAAGCCGCAATGAAGCAGTTTCTAGCGCCTTTCTTCCTCGTTACGGGTGAGGTTCTTCCGGTAAATGTATTGATTAATGGTGTGATGTTTTAGTTCCTCGACGCAGCTTGGTAATTGTGTGTCGTAAATTTTAGTGTCGCTTTCCTGCGCCCATGCAGCGGTAATTCTAACCGAAGACGCTGCTTCCTTAAAGTTACCGAACCGCACTGCAAAGATTGCAGCAGGGAAGGCAAAACGTGTGCAGACATAATCGGACCCGACTTCTGGTTGGGCGACCATTGCCTCTTGCGATATGGGAACGATCCCCCAGTCGGATTTTGCTGGCATGGGCATTAAAGAATGCTCTCATCCGGCAACAAATCAGTATTGGCAGCGCAGCGACGGAAATTGCCCGTTTGACTTAGTGGATACAGGTTTCGATACTGACAACGAAGTCGGGACGTAGTCGACTTGAAATTACAGATACCTGTAAATGCTCAATGTACTGATATGCAGGAGGACTTTCCAAAGCTCTGCTAACAGAACGTTAAAATCACATACAGGTTGTTGCCTCATTTGTAGGTTTGCTCAATTATTTAAGAGAAAGCCTAGAAAGTACGGTGAAAATGGTTCTCGTGTATATTTTTAGGTGGTATAATTGCTCTATCACGTTGCTCCACAAGGACTCCCTGGGCGGGACCCGGTTCAGGAGCAGCCGTGGCTGTTCTTCGAGGACCCTTTATCATTTGCGAAGTACTTATGGCCGTTTCCGTGTCACGTTTTGGTACCGGCTTTCCGATTGTCCCGCAATCGGATATAGTGAACGGGAAGATTTTGTTCTCAAGGTTTTAGCGCGCGGTACCAATGAATGGTCTCCAGATGCGGTGATTTGGGGCACAGCAGACGACTATAGCGGCGTTCAGCCTGATCAGTGGCACTTTGGCCAAGCGGTTTTTAGCCGCGATAGCTACAAGGAATTCTCCGTCAACTTCTTAGCATACCACAACAATGACTGTCAGTTCAACCTGAAGACCATTGCGCTGGATGCTATCCAGATACAAGAAGGTGAGGCTTCTAACGCGTAGTGTAGCACAGAACTATTCGGAGGTATTCGAACTATTCGAACGCCCCAGCGAAAGCAGTATTTTATCTTTACAGGGGTAAGAGCACCTGAGGGACCAGCCATGGATTCGCCACCGCAATTTCGACGTCTGCCTTATTAATTGCAGTTACAGCGCCAGGCAAGACTCCGGCCATCGCAGTTCACCACACTAAAAGCGGATGTGATGTTGCGGCACACCCGTTTTGATTTTGATAAGCTTAACGCGACTGTGAAGGATTATATCGGCAGCCGGCCATTCTGTGTAGCCTGACTTCGCTCAATGTTTTTCGTTCTATGGTTTCTTCTATTAGTACGGGGCGATATGATAACTTGGGTTTCTGCACTAACCACAGAATGATGCGAGGATTTCTCGATTTTGGTAATCGCCTACCTTTGTGACTTTGCAGTTTGCATCCCTTCGCAGCCGACACCGCTAGAGCTACTTCGTAACGCTATGTAAACAATTCGAGTTGGTCTGGCAGCGTCGATTTAATCTTACTCAAAGAATCTGGATAAAGCAAAGCTGTTCAAATGGCTATCGCTCGCTCCTTTAACGGATGCCGTGCTGCACATTGACCTTAGCGATGTCAGCACCGCCATGTTTACTAGTAATGATTCTTACGTTGACCGCACACTCCTGCGTTGCCTGTGTATATGACTTTGGGAAACGTCTGCAAAACAGCTGTTATTAGTTTTACACGGGCCGGTCCAGTAAAATAGGCATACTGGATTTCTCGCACTTAAATCCCGATACAACGCATGTTAGGTGTGCAAAACTCGGATCGATATTCTTGAAGAATGCCGTGTCGGATTTTTGCCGGATTTCAAGCCGAAAATTTAGTATTATCATTTAACGAAAGCTGTTTTTTGAAACGTTTTTCCGGGTAACTGGCGAACCTTGTAACCCCATAGCGGTTGGTGTGTCACGGGCTTGGCTGTCAGAGATTGCTGGCTGTTTTTCATGAGTTGATGTTCAGTAATGTGATGAGACACTTTCCTCCGGTTGCAGTGTGCCGTGTAGGCGGTGTAGCTATCGTGGATCCCAGCAACGTTACCATGTACCTGAAACGCTATATCAAGAACGGCCTGAAACAAGCCGCACTTCTTCAGATAACTCATTGTTCTCGGAACAATGTAGAGTTCTATAAACCGGACGATTCGGTGATGTCGTATGCTTACGCTTTACGTTGCTCTGACGGTCCCGTTGCGCGAACATGCAGCCAGACGGCGGTAGCGGTCTTTGGTAATACGATCGGGACTCTGTTTTATTTTTTTGTGCTAGCGTTAAGTTATTAATATATTTTGCTCATTAATGTAAGACTTTCCGCCATTTGAACATGGCGTTTAAGGTAGCTCTGATGAGTGTTCTGTTGCCTACCGGTCAGTGCACAGTGGCGCAGTGTACACTATAACTGCGGTAGTCCGGCTCCATAAACCGAACTGATTCTACTGCTGTCTTAATAACCGTGCAGTTAATACGTTTTGGCACTTTCAGTGTTGGCTTCACTCGCCAAGGCAGCCGTTCTCTCTAATGATTCCGCATCAGCAAAGCAGGTCCAGAGGACTGTGGAAAATTTGTTACCAACGGCAACATGCTCAGTTCCATCGGTGTATTGTTTCTTTTGGGAGACATTAGCGTCGTGCGATATGGGAACGGCCGCCCAGGCGGATAGCACTAGCGCAGAAATAGTGGCATGTTCCAATTCGCCGGTAACCACATGGTACCGCGGCTTCCGATATCACCCATACCAGTTTGATTTGGTTGACGAGGGCGTTTCCGCAGGCAACAGCCCCGGTAACAGACATAATTCTCATGGGCGTCGATGACAATGTACTAATAAATGTGCGCAACGGCTGGTGCGGGTTTTTCTAGATGGCGTGGTAGTTGTTTCCCGCTGCACCTTGCGGAGTATTGGCCTACAACCCTATAGATGGGAACCGATAGCGGTGCTTCGCGCTCCTGTTATAACCCCCTCGGACTGTTCGATCTACCGCGTCTCGTTTTGGTATCGGCTTTCGCATTATCCCGTGTTTCGTTCTATCATTGCCCGGAATCAATACCATCTCAAGTTATTCGTTGACAATTCCGAACAGCCTTTTTTTGGTCAACAGATATTTGGCACTGAGGAAGACCATGCCGGAGTTACTTTGCAGCAATGGCATTTTATGCAAGCGCTGGTGGCACGCGACAAGGGCCAACAATTTACCGTTAATTTCTTGGCCTTCCACAACGACAACTGTCAGACCAACCTGAAGACTATCGCTGTGGATCTGATTGAAATCGAATACGGCGAGTCCAGTCTAAAAACCACTTAATTAAAATCTGGGTATTCCCTTTCCGTCGGACAACCAGAATAATATATCAGCTAGCAAAAATATTTAATGGTAAAATCAGTGTCACCGTCTCACGGCTATAAAGCCGTTTTCAAGCCTTTACCCAAAAAATCGGTCTGTGGACCACATGTGTCGCACTGACTCCCAAATCAGTGCGTTTATCAGTAGAAAGAATCCCTGGGTTGTTCTTTAAAGGGTATTTTGTGACGGGAAGGGAACAATTAGTGAGATTATAGTCTGTCGACTATGGTTTATCCGTCGTTTGCGGTCTATAACGCATAACGTTGTTATATAGTACCGATCGGCTATTGTCCAGAACAGACTACTACTTCTCCGGAAACCACGCCCCTAGCAACCACGACACGGTCCCCTACCGCATCGAGCACGACGCGACCCACAGTGCTCCCAACCACCTCCACAGAAACTCACTTTTGCACGTGCCCGGCACCTCCCGACTGCACTACCGTCTCTCCCATTGCTGACCAGATCGACGCCGGCCCGGCCATCGTGGCGCGCTGCATTAACGGAACGGTTACGATGCCCTCCGTCCAACCCCAGCTCAGCGATGCGGTGGAGGCGTGGTTTGATGGCGATAGTTCGTACCGGTGCCGAACACATTTGCGGAACTTGCACTGGTGGTTGCTGTACCAAAGCAGCCGGTCGCTACCGTCCAGATTTACGAAAGCCATCTGCCACAGCGGCGTAATGCAGTTCTCGGAGCCCGATCCAGATACGGCGCCGTCGGCGGGTTTACATTTGCGAGCGGCTTCGTTGGATTGGAAGTGTCGTGGTGTTTTCGCCGGATTTCTAACGCAACTGGCCAACATCAGTGAACATCCTTAACGCGCAGAGCCGAGCATGCAGTGTAACATCAGTTTAAAAAAGCTTATGATTTAAACTCCAATGTTTCGATTGGTCTGATAATAAAAATAAAACAAAATAGAATTTGGTCAGTTTTTATTTTTTATGTTTGGACTGTACAATGTGCTGGCTTATCGACAAATAGACATTGAAGCGTTTGTTTTTAAAACAGTAGAAATATTTATCGCCACAGCAGACGTTTGTTAACTGTGTGCGACATTCTGTTTATCTTATCTGACGCTACTTTAGAATAATTTGCATTGTACGAGCGATTGTTCTTGGTTATGTCTAACAAATACATCGATTACGCCGATGCGATTGTGCCACTAGCCGTTTAGTTCGCGTTATGTGATACTGCAACATATGCAACCAGAAGACTAAAAATCTATAAGATTCTTCCGAACAGACCCGTCGAAAATGGGCAAACCAGCATATTTTATATTGTATTCTTTAGTTATTTTATTTTCGTTAGTTCATTATACCCTCGCTGAGAATTCGACGGATTCTACGACATCGCCGTCGACCATAACAACAACCATCGATCCGTGTGAGGGATATGTTTGTCAACAAAATGCCCACTGTGCTGTCCATCCGGAAACCGGTGTCGGCTGTGAGTGTAATCCTGGTTACGCATTAGCCAACGATTCCTCGGGACGCTGTTATTTCGACCCGTGTGGCGCGTCGGCGTGCGGACGGAATGCGACATGCCTAATTGATCTGGACGCGCGGGATCTGCGGTGGTGCGTGTGCGACGATGGGTTCGTGCGGGATGTCCAGTTAGCGGAAACCGAGGACTGTACAGGTTCGAACTGCTGGCGTCATTGCACAATGTAATCATGAACAACTTTGCTTTGCAGAACCCAGCGACGGTATGGAAATTTATGCTATAATTATGCAGAAAGTGCTAAACAATGTTTTCTGTATGTGGATTCGATAGCGCCATACGATCTCCTGTATGCAGTCATCGGTGTCGCTGCGTTCATCCTCGTCTCCTTTACCATATGGTTTTGCTATTTGGCACGACGCGGGTAATTTGTCTGCAGATTCTGGATATCCGTAGAGTTCTGTTTCATTAATGTTTCATTTCGACCAGACTTGAAGTCCCTTTGGGGTTGTCTGCTCTTGTGCCGTAATAATAATAATAATAATAATAATGATTGGTTTTTTTTATAGACCAACAAGGAAACTCGGTGATTCCACGCCGATATTCAAATCCAACGTGGTCCGCATTATTCCGGTGGATGTATCGCAGATTCCCCGCATGTTTGGCGGGAGAAAAGCGTCGGATGCGGAGGTCATCCTGGTCAGCGAAGACGTCAACGAAGATCACACAGTACGTAATGGAGACTGTCTTCCCAGCCTTAACGATCATAGTGGACTTTGGTAGGACGCGCCAGGAACGTCAACAGCGGAACAGCTACTCCAGACTCTGTCGCCGGAAGATGCCGAAGCCCTGATCGATGGACAGGTAAAGAAAATTATTTTTGAACTATTGCATAGCTGACAGCAGAACGTAAGCTGTAATCGACAATACTGTGCGCAGGTAGTTGTAAAGACCGAGTCCAGTGTTCAGCCCGTAGCTCCATCAGACGATGGAAAAAGTGAAGAACCGTCGAGCGTAGCGCCGGCTACCGAAACGGTAAAATGGTGTCTGTGAGCGGTTTTTGTTAAGCGGAAATATGCGTTGTGGTGCCATTGCCAGGTTATTTTCGTACCGGTTGATGGAAGCCTCTCCCAACCTGTCGATATGGAGCTGCTTTCCGATTCCGATCGCCCTGCACCCGAAGTTATTGTAGAGCCAATGCAGACGATGGTTGGTAGCGCAGATGTATGATTTAAAGAAGTCTGTTAAGGTTATGGTCTTTAGATAACCGTGGAGCTGCCAGAAGCGTCGCGTTCGCTGGAAGTTACCCCTGCGACAACGGCTGCGGGCGTCTCCGACACTGATGAGGACGACGATTCACGGTTATGACGGTTATTCACGATTCACGGTTACCGCTCGCAGAGTTAACGTTGTTCTACTGTAATTACAAATTTATTATACGAGTATTCTGGCAAATAAACAGTTTTTGAGAAGCGCCAAGAAACGATGTCACATAGTGTAGAACTCTTGGCAATCAGCGAAAATGATCTATCCGTGATGTAAATCAATGGAGAATAAAAATACTGAAATAAAATCCAGTGATCCACTGCGCAGTTCAACGCCCTGTCGTGCGTAATCTGCTGTTGGTACTTCGTGTAATGTTCGTAATCTCCGTGTACGCCTCGCTACTGTAAGGACTCTGCTGCGCATAAATTCGTCGGCTGCCGCTGAACCGTTTCTTGGGCGCGATGGCCTGGAAAACGATAATGTAGATGGCTTGTGATCCACATGCTAGTGTCAGCAACAGAACGAAGACATGCTGCACGATCGGATCCATAAAGCAGGCGAACAATGATAGCCAGACACTTAGCCAGATCAGGCCCATCAGAGTGGTGGTGATGATGACCCCATTCAGCTGTTCTTGGGCGAGAGAATTGTTGGAGGAGCTACTAGATGCCGGCGATAGACGCCGGGACCCTTCGATGTATTTCTGACGAATTTTGGTTTCTGTTAACACGAAAGCGATCAAGCGTGAATTTTTTCCGCTAAGAATACGGTTTTACAACTGCTTACCATAAAAATAAAAAATAACGGCCGCAACGTTGAGGATGGCCATAACGGATACTGGGATAATAAAGGTCACCAATGATATCCAAGGATGGTCTCCGTCCAGCCAACACCTAGGGGACAATTAAGAAAATTAATAAAATTACTACTTCAAAAGAGGATACATTTTTCACGGATTGGATAAAATTCAATAAAGGGTCATTTGCATACCATTTTTCGTGGCTGGCGTAGCCGTATCCTTGAAACCAGTCGTGAGAAATTCCGGGGATATGGCTGACGGAAGCGATGATGGGGAATAACATCGGTATAACTACAATTAATAACAATGATGGAAAACTGAAAAAGGAAAGCGTAATACGTGATACAGATATAAGTAAGGCAGTTGAATCGTTCTACCACGCACACGTTGCAGCGATCCAGGCCTTTAAGCGGAATCCCTCGTAGGTATCGTCGGGTATCGCAATCCGTCGGGCGTATATTTCCGGGTAGCGGGTCATTTGTATGAGCCGGAAAGTCTCCACCCCGGTCCACGCCATGCTCATCAATGAGAACCAGTGTACGAGGATGGCGTTGGCCAAGCAGAAACGCTGTCCACACAGTTCCGGAGAGAAGACCATGGCCTGGGAGAAGATGACGAAAAAGTACATGCCAAACAGGACAATCCACAGGTTAGTACGGGCGAAGGTATCCTCGTCGAAGGTGATGTTCTTATACCAGATACGCAACCTAAAACAATAAAATTTTTTTCTTTCAAGATAATGAAACTTAATTTAGCTAATGGAACTTGAGCAATTAAAAATGAATCAAACAGGTTTAATAAGAGTATGAATGTAATAAATCCAGTATTTCAATGAATAAAATATACGATTTTATAAATGATTTCCTGGGTTCTTAACTTACAGAATAATGACCAAAGCCACCAATGAGCACAGCGCTGCGACCATGGTCGTCGCCGTGGTGACAATGGCTAAATCCAGAGTGAAACTGCTGTTGCTACTCTCCGATTGATCGAGGACACTGCTGCACATGGTCAGCAGAAGCGAGAAAGGCGTCAAGTGGTTGCAGTGGCACTCGACCATCGTTCCATTCCAGAGGGGTAATTTATGAGCCTGACAACCGTCGGTAGACCATTGTTTAGTGGCGTAGTTGAGGTAACTGCACGTGTGACGTCGTCGCGCTCCGTGCGGATACTGTAATAGAACAGTCTTATTCAGATGCGTACATTATCAGTAGTGCATAGTTACGCGGCGTACATCGAATAGTTTATCGACATTGTGCCGAATGGTCACGATCTTTTCTCCCTTCAGTGGATGGCCAACAGACGCCAAAAGGACTAGCGGACTTGAACGCTCCAGCCTTTTGTTGGTGCTCGGATGCTTGCTGAACGTAAATGCCGGCATGGCGGACAAGGCGAAGGTAAAACGAGAGGCTGAGCCGTTGGACATTTGCTCTACGAAGAAATTCTCTTATTACTCGTAATTCGAACCTCCGCAACAACGGATATTTACCAAGCAGAACGCATTTGCGATACGCACTGTTGTTTAACAACTTACTGATTTCCTCGAACGATTTCTTCAGAGCATCTCTGCATAGCTTTATGCTGGCGACCGAATCATTGTTCTTCCCCGGCGTCAGTAATCCCTGCGATGCGTCTTGTATTCCCAGTTCGGTCCGCAACTGCAGATCCTCAAAGCGTGTTTCATTGTTAACGGAAACAACATGTGCGTACGATAGAATGTGCGTGTCTTTAAACTCGTAAGGCACATCCGAAGGCGGTAGCTTATCATACAGAATTTCCAGCGTCTGGTAAATGGCCGCTGCAGTTTGATCAGCTTCATGTTCGGCTTCCGGTGTTATTGGCATTTCTAGCTGGTTATCCTGGTCGGCACCCAAAAGGGCGTCCGCAATTTCTATGATGCTTCTAGTTGCATTTGTCGTGGCATTTACTGGTAGACTGAAATTTACGGGAATTTTAGCGAAATCTAAGGAGTAACTGGCAAATGCTGCGATGTTGGGGAAGCTAATTTTCTCTGACTGTGAGGCGTTGTTAACGAGACCTTGCACTGCTCGGAGAACATTAGATGGCGATTGCGTGTAATAGTCCGTGTCATTGTGGTACGCTGTGCGGTTGATGGCGTTGCTCAACTCTGTGGAAATTCGCGGCGCTAGAAAGAAAGAATGAATATCAACTTTATATTAGCAGACCTAACTAATTTAACCTAGCGTAAACTAGATGAACTTCACCTGGCGAAGGTGTGGTCGAGGAAGTTACCGGTAACAACGTATACGTGGACGTAGATGACAACCTAGACGTGGAAGCTGAAGTTGTGTTTGGCCGCGTGACCGTTGTTGACGGAAAAGTCCTTGTCGGCAATGTTGTCGAACGTATTGTACTTGTGGTTGTTGGTTGGACAGTCGAATGTACGTTGTCTGGCTCGGAACGGTAGGCTGCTAGCACTGCGGAAATGGTGGCGTACGCGATAATTTCAACTAAAACAGGTTTAAACTGAGAATAACGCAGCAATACAGTCCTTGTTAACCACCCAAATAAATATAAATTGGCAAACATAACCATAAATTTAACACTTATATCGTAGCTGTCAGTTTGTAAATTTGCAATGTGCATAATACACGACATATACAATTTTTACACAGGAGAACTGTTTCTTTCTAACAAAAAATTTTGTTACAAACCGGATAGTAGCGAAACCATTTTTCGCTACCAAAAAAATACAGGCATCTCAAGATAAAATCAATTTGGAGCCTTACCAACAATGGAAGCTATTAGCAAGCCGATAAAAGACAACACTTGCAGAGTTTTCTTTGTTTTGGGATAGTTTTTCAGGTAACCCATCTTGACCAGGAAATATTTGCTTCGAGAAAACAAACCGGTAAGATATAAAATATAGCCTTTATCACCGGCTATATTTTTGCACGTGCGGTTGCGTTAGCGCTGTAGTACATGTTTTAATGACTTCATTCGTTGGGTGATAAAGCTGATAAGCCGTAACAATGTATACGGAAACCGTGACGGGTGCTATCATCTGGGAGCGAGATTAAGCTAACCGTCTGCCATTGTTCAAACATTGTTACAGCCTATCGTTCGGGCGACGGTTGACTACGCAGCACGTTCATCACATGTGCACTCTACGTACCGGCCTGATAAGCTAGTTCACAGAAACTTATACACAGGCGTATCGGAACAGCATTTCTTGTTGTTTGCATTTCCTCGGCAAGAGCTAACTCGCTGAAGATCATTTAGATGAAACGTCGTTGCAGCTTAAAACGGCTTCGGTTTGAACGCTAAGCCCCAATGAAAATCGATGGTGCCGCTTATTCATGTCGTTCGTAGGCAAGCTTCACTAAACCTGTGCTTGCGGTCTTGTTTAGTTAACATGAGATAAAATTTCGCCAAACGTAGAACCGCATTTCTGCTTTTTAAGTTTGAACGGTCCCCATGGAGCGTCGCGCATCAGCTCTGCATAAAAGCGTATAAAACGGATTTCCGAAAGACTCACTTTATGTCATATTACGACACCGCGGTGCAAGGCTACTGATAACGATAACTGGATGCTATGAGGCTGAAATAGTGTTATCAGTTTCCTTGTCAGTTTACCTTATCGCTGGTATCGAGTGGAAATGCGCGCAGCTAAATGTCGAGCACTGATTATGCGTTTCCCTACCTACACAAACCGTAGAATTATCCACGCACATTCCCATAAAATGTCTCCCTCTTGCTGTCTTAAAAAAAATTCTGATTGGAATTCTGTTGTAGATGCCAATGGCGACTGCGTTAGCTTGCTTCCTTATTATCTTCATCGCTTTGGGTATAAACCGCATCAGTAGTTGCCACGTGAAACGTTCGCTAAACAGTAATGACTGTATTTTTGCAGGTGCCAGCAGTAGCTGGAAGGAGGTGCTTGCAACCGAGTGTCCGCTGCCGACGTCCTGCTATACATGGCGGACCCTGCACGCCTGTGACCTGGGCACCGACATCCAACTGGATGATACGGGTCACGCCATCGCGGCATGCGCTGACACATCGGCGGATGTGGTCTGGTTTCGCCGATTCCAATATCTTCCCTACCAGTTCGATCTCATCAAAGATCCCGGACCTGATAATGCTACGGGTAAAATCTAGCTGGCAGAGCAGTTTATTAGCGAATTTTGTGAAGAACACGATTTAGGCAATGTGATTGCTGTGTCACGCTGCACTCCACGTCGGAAGGGAGATGCGGCGGACCGCGACGAGCCGGTGGCCATTCTGCGCAGTCCCGCAATTATTCCGCGAGGCTGTTTGGCTCTGCGTGTCACATTTTGGTACCGGTTATCTGGCGAACCAACTTTCTCACCAACTTCGCAGGAATTCAATCTTAAAGTGCTCATTGAGGATCGATATTACACTTTCCCGAATGACTTAATCTGGGGACGCCAAAACGATTATACGAACACCAGTGTCAATGAATGGAATTTTGCCGAAGTCTTCTTCGGACGCGATAACGGCCAACAGTTCACAGTAAACTTCCTGGCGTACCATGACAACGAGTGTCGGGGAAACGTTAAAGCCATTGCTTTGGACTCCATGACGATCCAAGCAGGTTCGCCACTTTTCTAAACGAATGGCTTTAAGGTTCATAAAAACCTGTTAATTTCAGCGCAGAGGATCGCCAACTGTACAGACGTTACGGATGTAACAGTGACAACTAATTCCCCAAACGACCAAACCACGCTCACAGTTAATTCTACCGAATCGTACGAGTGCTACGTTGACGAACCGATTGTGGTCCGGTGCGTGAGAGGCGCCGTGACCGTGACGCCGCCGTTACCGGTTAACATTTCAGACAGCAATGCCGCGGAGATAACGTTTCAAGGCGACAATACATATCCTTGTCGAACGCTTTTACGGGAACTCCATCTCTGTTTGGTGAACGCCAGTTCTGCAATCCACCGCGCAGCCGAATCGCCCACAACTGTCATTTGCCGCAAAGGAAGCCTAGAGTTCTCTGAAGTAGATCCCGATGCGGCACAATCCACGGATCTGGTCTTCCGTACACCGTCCGTTGATCTGACGTGTCGGAAGAAGTTCGTTGAGTTTTTGCAGCAGTTGGCAAATTCTACTGTCGATGAAGGTGTGTGCAGTGTGCATTCATGTTGGGTACGTTTTAGTATTCGGTGATACTGGCTATTTTCAGAAGAGACTACCAGTGCCGGCGGTACGACCACTACGGCTTCCGCGCCACCAGAGAGACCCAGTTGCTCATTGCCGGCGGCTTGCTATGACTGGATAACGCTGCACCAGTGCGACATGGGCACTACGGTTCAGCTCGTTCAGAGTACGATAATCACGGCGTGCTCTAATCAGGATCAAGGAATCATGTGGACGAGGGGATACAAATACTACCCGTATCAATTCGACCTCGTAGAAGATGGCGCCGATGCTGACAGTAAGAAAATCTTAATATGTCGCTTCTCAACCGCTCCAGCACTCAGTTACAAATAGTAGAAAAAAAACAGGGCACAGACAAAAGCAGTAAGTAATTATGCACCGGTAAAATCCTGGTTAACTGACCAATTAAACTCATGGACCGGCGAAAAAGGAATAAGATCCTGGACTCTACGTTGAATTTAAGCAACGGACTTTTGCAGAAGGAGTATTCGCGATTTCCCGCTGCTCGCAACGCGTTGCTGGTGTGGCACCGGAACGAAGCGATGCCGTGGCGATTCTGCGCAGCGCAATCGTCACCACGACGTCTTCCTACCCCTGCCTGCTTGTGTCCTTTTATTATCGCCTGTCCGATTTTCCGGTATTCTCGGTTAACCCAGACGAGCAGTTCCATCTCAAAGCGTTTATCGAGGATTACGGTCAGACGTTTCCTCACGAGCAGATTTGGGGGAACGAGACCGAATATGCGGAGAATATTATCGGCCAGTGGCGCTATGTCGAGGTGGGTTTCACTCGCAATGCTGGACAACGATTCACTATCAACTTTTTTGCTTACCATAACGACGGCTGCCAGATCAACCTCAAAACGATTGCATTAGATGCAATAACCATTCGAACAGGTACCGACTGACAACGGAGCGACAAGGGTCATACATCGTATTTGGTGTATATAAAAATGTGCGTCAATTTAACACTTCCTTTCGTAGCGAAGGAGACCGGCGTGTGTATCACCACCACCGCCACTACAACCCCGTCGAAGCCAACCATTCCAACTTTATCCTCGGTTGCGTGGTTTCGTGATTCCAGTCAACTGAGTCAAAGCACATGCGACGTTGGACCGGCCATAATTTACAACTGTCAAAAAGGCGTCGTCAGTATCGATTCACCGATTTCGGATATTGATAGCAGCGACGGCATGGAAGCGGTGTTTCGTGGCGACAACACGTATCCTTGCCGAACACATTTACGGAAATTGCACGTTTGGTTACTGGAGTTAGTCGGAAGATCGTCGCGCTCTGGCTACGAGCCCACACTTATCACGTGCCGGAAAGGTCAGTTCGACTTCTCCGAACCGAATCCCGATGCGGCACAATCCACGGAGCTCGTGCTGCGCACTGTATCGGTCGATTTAGCGTGCAGGAATGCTTTTTCTCACTTTGTACGCCAAATGGTAGCCCTCGCTGATTTGAAATTCTCTGAGAACGGGTGTTTTTGACTGACTGCTATAAAATTTTCAATGGCAGGTCTCGGGCTTCTTAGTACTTGGTGTATGGTTCTTGAGCTCGCTGAAAAGATGCGAAACAAAGAAAATTGCCCAAAGCAGTCGGAAGTGTTCCATGAACTGTTTGTGCAAATCTAATACTTATATAATACGATCTAATCAATATGACACAGACGAAAACAGTCGTGGCGGCAAAATGATGACGCAGGCCAATTTTTAACGATGGTGTGAAATTGTGAATAATCGACAAATTAGCCAAACGGTTCTTTCGTTAGGAAAGGATACTGGAGTTTCTTCAATTTCACCGCGAATTTTGGCCTCGACGTTTCTTTTACTTCATTCAGTATTTCTCGGATTAAGGCGATATAATCTTGCGGTTAGCTGTGTGCTTCATTTTCTCTTTAAAGTGGCGATGAATTTCAAATGTAGCCTGCCGCACGACTTCGGAGAAAGTAATCAACCAGAATGTTCGCTTATATAGAGAAATCGTTTATAGTACATTTTTATACTGTGTTTCACGTGCAAAGCCAGGTATTTGTCAGATATGACACAGAAGCAGATGGAAAATGGGGCAAAATATGCCTTTATTGATAACAATAAAGCAACCACAAACAAACACAGAAAACCAATGCGGTATCACTGTGGAAAAAAGTAGCTGTGAGCGCGCAAGTCAGTATCGTGATTAATGATGCAGCGTGCTGCAGGTATGCAACAGCTGATGCCGTAAAGCATAGAATCGCTCGTAGGCGCTGGGCTACCCCCCCAAGAGTGCAGAAATGCGCTGATTGGTCAGCGTAGACAAAGTATACGCTGAGTGAGCAGCGTAATAGCGCGGCACGAATGGAGTAGCCATCTGCGGGCGGGCGACAGAGCAAAGCCACAAGAGGTGTCTACCGCCTCGAGTGTGCGGTCTCTGACATGCCTCTGGGCGGGAGTGGGAGCTCCTGCGAGCACCTTCCGACTCTGCCCCTGGCCAACCCGGTAGGGTGCCAGGATCCGATACCCGGTAGGGCCGGATGCCACTTTGTCTCTAAACCCGTTAGGGTCGGTTGCTCCAGACCCGCGGTGCAGTGCACCGAACGGCCGAAATCTGGAGTGCACTCTGGTTGCAGGGGGTTCCAGTGTGGTTTGCAGGCTTGGTTGGTCGAACAGGTTAAAAAGATAAAGTTTATAAGGCTCATTGGTTAAACATCGAAATAAAAGATCACAATTTCAGTGAGAATTAAAGTAAGATCAAAGTTAGAGATCCCAAAGCCAATTCCTTTGGTTATTTGGCTAAATAAAAACATCAATTCTTTGGTTAATGAAGTCTAGAAAAACCAGGTTTGGTTAAAAAACTAGACGAAAAATGGCTTATTCCGACTAGGTTTACCACAGGGCAGATTCTGTCCACACGGGTCCTAGTCAACGGTCCGCTTTATCCGATAGGATTGGTCTAGTCCTGTAGATCCGGGGCGACGGTTCCAGAGATGTCCACAGGGGTCCAGTAGAGTAAATCCAGCGGTGCGGTATATGGAAGGCACTATTGCTTTCGCAAGGACAGGTTGTCCCCTTCCTGGTTTAAGTATGGTGGACCAAGCCCGGTTGGGCTGTCCATATAGGGCCAGAGTAATGCCTCTGGACAGGAGAGGTGCTCCTGTGACCAAAATAGTATGCTTGGACCAATTCCGTTAGGATGGCCATGCTTTGGTCTGACATGCCTCTGTTGGACCTGACCCGTTAGGGTTGTCCCTGGTGTGGCGGGAGTGGGAGTCCTGTCGGATTCCTTCCCAGTGGCCAAAATTGGTGCTTTGGACCAGTCCCGTTAGGGTGGTTCACATGGGTCTCTAACTTGGACCGGTTTGGCCTTGCATGCCAGTTTGGTCATGCGCCTAGGTCCAAAATCTTCTAAGTCCGAGAGGGCCATAATGAAAAAATTTCTAAGTCCCAGGACCGAGGTGGTGTGATGGACCAAACCCGTTGGGGCGGTCCAAACTCGGTCTCTGACATGCTCTGGGCCGGGATACGAGGTTCCATTGTGATGTGGCTCGCCTCCGGCTGGTGTGGGACGTGGGGGTCCTGTATAACAGGTTTTGGCTCTCCGATATGGACTTAGTCGTTTTTTGATGAGCCACGTCGTTGGACGGGCCAAAAGACTTAGTCTTTTTCGACGGTCCAAAATTGATGGCGGGCCAGATGGACTTAGTCGTTTTTTTTGACGGTCCAAGGTGTATGGCGGGCCAAAGTTGCAGACTCGTTGAGTCTGGTCCGTCTCATTGGCCGTGGGCCATGAGTTAGCTACCATGTCCGATGAGTCAGATAGGCGATTTTCCCTGAGACCGTGGCCATAACAAAATTAAGTGGCTTCTGACAAAAACGTCAGGTTAGCCGGGCCAAACTCCAAAAAATTAAGTTGTGGGCGCCGGTAGGCGTTTTCCACAAAGGAGTCGGTCTGCTGACTAGAAGCATCCTCATTTGGCCTCTGGGCGGTGCATCTTTTGGATGGGCCTCTGGGCGGTCCGTGGTGAGGATGTTGGACGTGGTATGCAAAGTGGGTGTACCACAACTTCTATGTGGCTCCCGAACTCACTTGTCCCAGTTCCCTGGTATGGCAACTAAACTCGTGAGCCGCATATGGTCCGTTGGACACACAGCGGGCCTGGTCCAACTTCTATGGGCCAGGACTTGGCCATGGCTTGTCGCAATTTTTATGCGGGCCAGGCTGATCCTTGGCTTGTCGCAACTTCTATGCGGGCCAGGATCGATCCACGGCTTGTCGCAACTTCTATGCGGGCCGTCGCCGCCTTCTGGGCGCTGGATCCTTTCCATGCCGGTGAACCGGGCCTTGCGCCAAGTTCAGTCCGGTGGACTCCGTCGGATGGTCTGGGATGGCCGAGCCAAATTCATGGTCCCAGCCGCTAAGCCAGAGCCAATCCGGGGAATCCGGTTAAGATCCAGGGATTAAGGTCCGGTAAGGTGGACGATACATGGCTGTAAGCCACGTTTGTTGGGCGAGGGTAACAACCGTTGGATTGTACCCACTATGGTGTTCAAGTCCGGTTCAGCCGATGCCGGTCCAATTTTGGGGCCGACATGCAGGAATGGCCGTTGGCCTATTCCTGCCCTCCTTGTCCGGCTTGGTCGCCGTCGCCCAACCCTGGGTTGAGTGGGTCAACGACGCTTTCCTCCATGTCCGCCAATTCCTGTTCAGTCAGGTTATGTTGATGTTGGCTGGAGGTGCTGGTCGGCTGGACTTCTGGGCCAGACTGTTCGGCCTGGGTCTGGACGTGTGCGGACGATCCTGTTGAGGATCGTTGAGTGCGAAACTTCGTTGGAAGTTTCCGCGCTGCCGTTCGGTTGACGAACGCTTCCGCACCGTCGTCGAAGTCCGTTGGATGGCGATAACGGTAGTCTTCGGCGCGGCTCCTGAAAACATTCAGGGCGCTTTGGATTTTGACTCCCGCCTCGATTTCATGAATTTGGTTTCGAAGGAGGGCCACCTGGGTCAGTAAGCGAGGAATGATCGTCCCCTGCCGATAGGCAACTTCAAGTTCCCAGTGGCACCGTAGGTGTCCGAGTCTAGCGGCGAAGATGCGTAACATCGTGCCGTTGTACGAATAAGCGTACGTTCCCGGGACATCCTTGTGGTCGGCCGGCTTGCATGGGATTTCCATGGCGGCTCTTGATGCTGCGATTATAAAACTGGCGTTCGCGTCCGGTAGGACGAACTGGGCCAGGTATTTGACGACGTCGAGTTGGTCGTCCTTTATGTGCAGTTGGCACAAGTCGTTCCAGTCCGGTCTGGTAACGGGCTGTCCGAGTAAGTTCACGTCCGTGATGCTCGATAGAGCATTATCACGGACCATTGGGTAGCCCTCGCGGTTGTCGATATGTTCCGCCATGCTAAAAGCAGGGGGCCACTCCTTTTTCTGCATTTCCATCTCGAGTCCGGACCGGACGACGAAAGTTTGCAGGTTCTGGACCATGGCATTGACTTGGGCCCATCGATCCCTAGGGTATGGGATAGCGCCCATAATGTAATCCGTCACCTCCCGATGGGGACGTGGCCGGATATTAATGCCCTGGTCCTCCGCATGTTTATATGGGTCGAAGTCCGTGGCACTGACGATTGCGTCTTGTCGGGCCGGTGGGTCCGATGACGGCGGTGCGGACTCAGTCTCCATTGGTATCTGGATGCTAATGTTGTGGGCCACCGAGCTGACACTTCGTTCTGGTCGCTTGGTGGACTGAGCGACAACCAGACTGGACTCTGCCTCGCTCCGTTTCCCGGGTGATGTGCGCGCTTGGCGCTCTTCGGGCTGGCTACGGCGGCCAGTTTGGTTCCGGTTGCGGCTCTGGATCTGATGACGTAATTCATCTGGGTTCCGCGGTAGCGGTGCCAGTGGCGTGCGTTGCTCTGTACGCGCTGGCTGATATTGGCCTTTCAAGGCATCCAACAGTCCACCTTCCATCAGCTGTTTGGCCACCTGGTCAACCATAGCTTTGTTGATGTTTTCCAGGATCTGGTTGTATGTCGTCGGTGTAGACATCTCATATCCGTAGGATTGAGAGCCTGACGATGGCCGTTGCTGATGTCCATATGTTTTCGGGGCGGCCGTTGGGCCGCGCCCTGAGGACTGGTCAGAACCCGTGTTACGGGCTCGACGTTCCCGGTCTCGTTCCTCTTTCCGTTCCCGAGCCGATTGGCTGAGTGGAGGAATCTGGGTTCCGGTACTGCTCCAGCCAGGTTGTCGTTCGCCACTGCGTCGCATGTAGAGATCGTAGATCTCTATCTGCTCATGGTCCCTCAGTAGGGGAAACAGGTGGCTTCCATCGCGGCTGGTCATGTGGCAGTATGCATCGAAATTGCCTCTCACCACTTCTAAGTAGAAGCAGTAGGCTCTGTCACTCTCGTCGCGGAAGCCCGGTCGCAGGTGGTATGCGCAAGGGAACAATTCCCGTGGGGAGTTGTCCCGGCGGTTCTGGTCTCCGCTGTTGCGCCTGCAGTCCGAACATCGCGGCTCGTACTTCTGCTGTGGTGTAAGTCCCATTCTCTGTGGTAACAGAAATGAAACTTGCAGAATGGGGTTAAGTCCACTTTCTATGACGGGTCCCTATGATAATTACG